CGTATCCATACATATATATGTGTGTATGTATGCCCCCCCTCCCACCCAACTCCTGCCCTTACTCTCTCTGTATATTATAATCTCCAACTCATTCTTAGTCTATGGTTTTTATATATATATATATATATATATATATATATATATATATGGCAAGAGACCGAGTTTCTTATAGGCAGACTGTGATGAGAGCGACGTTCTGCAAAGGACCTGCTACATGATATATATATATATATATATATATATATATATATATATATATATATATATATAAGGGCTGTACCGAATAGTGATTTTCACTATTCGGCCGAATACGAATAGTGGGACCAACTATTTGGCAGAATACGAATAGTGTATCATCATCATCAGGTGCTTTGCCGACTGATCATGCCTCTCCACAATCTGCTATCTCCTGCAGCATGTATCAGTTCGTGTGCTGACACACCTCCATGCCATGCAACAAGACTGTCAAGAATTTTCTATCGTTGTCTTCCTCTATCCCGTCTTCCACAGATCTTTCCAGTGGTCAAATGTTCAATTTTCCATCTTCTCATAACATGGCTGAAAAATGACGACTGTCTCCTTCTGACGTCAGTGATTAGTTGTCTTCGGGCTCCCGCCTCTTTCAAAACCATCGTTCGCTCGGCCGTTCGTTCGATGTAATTTAAACGCACCTTCATATTCTCGTTAGCAATATCTTCACATTTGATTTGGGCGAAGACACCCTGAAAAAACGAAAAATGCATGATCTCTCTCTCTCTCTCACACACACACTGCGGTTGGCATTTTATGCATTTTGTACCATGCAACCTGGTCGCAGTTTCCCCGGCTACGACAGACTTAGGCAACAGCAACTATTGTGTAAATAAGAGAGTTATTTCAGTCCATCACAGTGTATGCAGAAACGGGAGTAGGGTAACCACAATTCGTATTCGGCCCGACCGCAACTATTCGGCCGAATACCGAATAGTTATTAGGTCCACTATTCGGCCCCGAAGCGAATATTCGGTACAGCCCTTTTATATATATATATATATATATATATATATATATATATATATATATATATATATATATATATATATATATATATATATAAATAACCCACAACTCTAATTTATAATCTATCTATCTTTATAAACAACTTCATTCAGTATATCTACGATGTCTCCTGACCTGCCCCAAAGCACTAACTATGAATGCACAAACATCCAGTCCCTTCCCGCCCTCCACAATAAGAACCCCATCAATAAAAAGTGCACACATGAAAATCCCTCCAGGATCCACACTTATATCATTTACAACAAAACTGTTCGGATTTCTCTCCCCTGCAAGACAATGCCCCACACTCTACTAACAACCCAACATAAATTATCAATTACATGCGTCTAAAATAGTCCAAACGCACACCCAAAAAAAAAGGAAAAACGTCAATGACAATAATCGTTACTTCTTTCCCTTGCGCCGACCCTGAAAAAAAGTTTGCTCAAGCTAGATCGATCCCCTACAGAGCCTCATAATTTCCTCTGGGGCAGATGCCGGGTTTTTCCTTTCTAACCAGCCAAGCTTTACACGAACGACGGCTTGGCCCGGATCTCACTGTTATTTTTAGACAGGCCTATCAGTCTTCCCTTCTCCCAGCGACGTGAACAAAGAGTGCTGGGGCCAAACGCGCTTTGCATTATACACGAGGAGAAAATCCTAGGGAAGTTTGAAGTATGGGAGGAGGGGGGTGGGGAATAAAAAGAAGAGGGAACGACAGAACTGGCGAGGTCGGAGGAAATGGGAATTCCTTCTGTGTTCATGACAGCCAGGGAAATGTTATATGCAACGGCTTGCAGCATGAGGGAATCCTTAGCAATTACGGACTGCAACTGCCAGCCTCCTTCCCTCTTCTCCCTGATGCATTATCATTCAAATAATGTAATTATTCTCAAGAAGACTAGGGGAGATAACTTTCTCTTATTTCTTTCTGGTTCATCTCCCCTCTTCTAGTTTAAGTAAAAACCAAATTGCGTTAATAAACAGTATCCATTTAAAACAAAAACGGGTTTATTATCATTCATCTCTCGTCGGGGAACCTATCGTAGCCACAGGGGATCACTTACACGCCACATCAATACGACGCGTTTCGGGGTGCCACGGCTTTGCCCTGGATGGGAGAATACACGATTGGGAGGACCACGTCTATGCCCTGGATGGGAGAATACACGTTTGGGAGGACCACGTCAATGTCCTGGATGGGAGAATACACGTTTAGGAGGACCACGTCTATGCCCTGGATGGCCACAATATACGTTGGGGGGGGGGGGGGGGGGGCGCGCACGTCTATGCCCTAGATGGACAATACACGTTTGGGAGGACCACGTCTAAACCCTGGATGTGAACAATATACGTTGGGGGGAGGGAAGTGGGGGAGAGGAAACCACGTCTATGTCCTGGATGGAAGAATATGTAGAAATGGACGTCAAATATTACAAACACATCTTTTTTCAACACTATGCAACATTTTTATGTTATTTTTCCTGCGTTCGCCATTAAAATCAACGCATCGAGTAGTTTCCAGCTAGGCTGCGATATCTACTTGTTTCAGCCCAACAACAAAGCCGTAATCATTTGCCTTTAAGTTCCCCCCCCCCCCCCCCCCCCCCCCCGGGATCCTGAAGCGCCTGCTTCATATAATGCAATAAATGCTTTCGATGGCTTACATCAGGAACATTCAAGGGACTAAAACTGTGAACATGGGGGCCGTCACGGACCAAAGCACGAGATCCCAGGACATAAAGATCATCTATACATTACAACTGGCAATGATTCGCAGGCCCCTTGCTAGGCGTCCGCGGGCCCTCCGAACAGCTTGAAAACAGATTTTTATCCTGGCTTCCGAACAGTTAAGAAACCTGACCCATAACTTGGCTTCCGAACAGTTGAGAAACCTGACCCATAACTTGGCTTCCGAACAGTTGAGAAACCTGACCCATAACTTGGCTTCGGAACAGTTGAGAAACCTGACCCATAACTTGGCTTCTGAACAGTTAAGAAACCTGACCCATAACTTGGCTTCCGAACAGTTAAGAAACCTGACCCATAACTTGGCTTCCGAACACTGAGTGAGTGTAAGTAGTTCGAGAGCCATATTATGAAAAGCCTGCGAACACCAGTGCATTTAATGTTGGATATCCCTTCGTACAGCATAAACATAATGAATATTGAGACTTGTATGTATATTAACAGTCTATAAAGAGTTAGGGGTTATAATATGTATATATATATATATTTTTACACACACACACACACACACACACACATATATATATATATATATATATATATATATATATATATATATATATATATATATATATATATATATATATATATATATATATATATAAAACACTCACATGCGCGCGCAATATTCACTAAGAACGCAGTGAAACGCTCCCAAGCCTACAATGACGGCGCATGCAGGCGCGCCGACTTCAAGAAATAGTGGCGGAGGGGTCTCTGTGGTTCAGTCGTCAAGAAGCCTGCCTCGCGCTCTGAAGGTTGTGGGTCTGTTTTATGGCAGCCTCATTCAGTTCATAGTGAGCGATTATTACGGAAATCCCAGGGGACATCCTCACCGGAGCTACGGAGTTTGTGCTCTGCACATTCTCCCTGCAGGTGGTTAGCCTTTTAAGCGGAGAGAAACCGAACCACATGGGGAGGGAGAAACACCGGTGCAATGAAGTCTTCGCGCTCCACTTTTAACTCACATATAATCAGTGACTGCACGAATGTAAGCAACCTTTATGTCACACGTGTATGGCCACTCACCCAAAATAATTATATGAGACGCGTTCACTAACCTCTAAGCCAGTGCCCCTCAACAGTTTTACGCGCGCGGCCCACTAAAACAGTGGGAATTGTTTCACGGCCCACATGACAGCTAACCCAACACAAATGTGGAATCTAGTTTATTTGTTAAATCCGATGTCACAAATTGACAGTTACAGCTAGTGCGACTTTTGCTGCTGCTTATAGTGTACGCAACCTGTTATATGTGGCTAGAGCTGTGTATCTGATAGATGAAGCACTGCAATAACATCCACTTTATTTGTATGTTGGTTTTTTTTAAATAAAGTTCTTATGCTCACAACTAAATTGCCCTGTTTTAAGATGTTCCCTGTTCTCAAATAATCACTGCTATTTGTTTTACGTGGGTATGTGTGATCTAAGTTAAAGAGACAGGAGTACATGAAAATGTGTGGTTTATGGCAGAGACTGAAGCAATTATGGGTTTGTGTGATCTATGTTAAAGAGACAGGAGTACACGGAAATGTGTGGTTAATGGCAGAGACTGAAGCAATTATGGGTATGTGTGATCTAAGTTAAAGAGACAGGAGTACATGAAAATGTGTGGTTTATGGCAAAGACTGAAGCAATTATGGGTATGTGCGATCTATGTTAAAGAGACAGGAGTACACGGAAATGTGTGGTTAATGGCAGAGACTGAAGCAATTATGGGTATGTGTGATCTAAGTTAAAGAGACAGGAGTACACGGAAATGTGTGGTTAATGGCAGAGACTGAAGCAATTATGGGTATGTGTGATCTATGTTAAAGAGTCAGGAGTACACGGAAATGTGTGATCTATGTTAAAGAGTCAGGAGTACACGGAAATATGTGGTTAATGGCAGAGACTGAAGCAATTATGGGTATGTGTGATCTATGTTAAAGAGTCAGGAGTACACGGAAATGTGTGATCTATGTTAAAGAGTCAGGAGTACACGGAAAGATGTGGTTAATGGCAGAGACTGAAGCAATTATGGGTATGTGTGATCTATGTTAAAGAGACAGGAGTACACGGAAATGTGTGGTTTATAGCAGACTGACGCAATTATGGGTATTCGTGACCTATGAAAGACTGCAGTGCCTACAGGGATATGTGATCTACCAGACACAGCAATGAACAAGATGAGAAGAAATGAGATCTAACATGTTCACAAACAACATACTTACATGAGACACACCATGGTCAGGGGTCACTGAGGGAACCGGTGACAGCTGCGAGGGGGAACTCTGGACCATGTTCTGCATATGCTGCAGCTGAGGTTGCTGTGGGGTCAGCGGTCTGCCCACTGGAGACAGTGATGGACCCGACTGTTGTTGGGAGGAATTCATGTACATCTGAGGCTGGGTTGCGGAATGACCATACATATGGTTGGGCATCTGTAGAGGCAAAAAAGAACAGGGAAGTCTTAGATTCATCATGCTCAGTACAGACACTTTAGGCAGCAGACTGCATTAGTGAGGATACTAGGAAGAAGAAAGGCAGCCTGAACACTTCATGTTACACCATGGCAGATAGGGCCCTTAGCCTTGGTTGGCATCTGGTCTAGGAGGAAAGCTCTGACAGATAGAGCTCTGCTCTTCTGATCCAACAGCTTTTGTAGCATGCTGTGTACCAAATGTATTGGTGTTACTTTTCCTTTTGAGTTAATAAAGCAGGCAAAGAGAAGGATCTTCTTTCCCCTCTTCTTCAATACTCAAGTTCTGGAACAAGACTCATGTCTAGAAGCAGACAAACAACCAGAACTTTCCACCGGAATTTACAGCTGGTGAAAGCAAACAAGATGTCAAAAGGCTTGCCAGGAGTTGTATAAGGACCCATGTTCCACTCTAGGAAATAAAGAGGAGGAGGAGACGGAAGAAGCAGCAGGAGCAGAACAACAACAAAAACAGAACTTATAGAATCATTTCAATAAAGGATATGCACTTGAAACTTACCATCATAAACCGCTGATGTGGTGGACCCGCACTGGAACCAGGACCCATGGGCAATTGCTGATTCATGTACTGGCCACCCGGCTGCAGGTAGGAGCCACCTACAGCCCCCAGCATCGGCCGGCGGCCTTGACTCATACTGTTGATGCCGCCAGACTGAAAGACACAAAATAATGATTTAAGAACTGAATGGAATATAAATAAGTCAATTATTCGTAGTTTACCTTTTCTAGGACATAGCAGAACCAAACAGCATTTATTGGCTGCTTGATACCTTCAGTGGTTTGACATTTCTCCCAAACAGTCGCCTCTGGATACCACTGTTAAAACATTGGTGGCCAAATCGTTCATGGCTGGAATCTAAACAGGCACTTCAGAATTATGAAGTGCATTCAAACACCTAAGTCACAACAGCCGCCAGCCTAAAATACCAGTGTCTTTTCCTTTTCTGTATGTGTTGTTCATCTACTTCAGGACTCTGGTCTTGTTACATGATCGGAGACTCTACGGGCACCCTTTGCTGTGAGCAAGAGTTCACAGAATGCTGCACTAAATTGAAATTTAAAAAAAAAATTATTGCTAAAGACTGACCAAAGACATGGAACTAAAGCCACACTTTTTTATTGTATATTTAATTTCCTAAATATTAGACTCGCAAAACAGATTGCATTCTAAAGTTCGTGGATTTTTCTAATTATCGCTCGCTCTTTAAATTTGCTTTACAGAGCGCTGAAAGGGCTAAAAAAAAAAAAAGCTGATGCAAACAAATGCGAAACAACTTCCAACCATAGAAACAATACATACAAAATAGAAAGCAGATGAAGAAAATAATTCTGGTGCTAGATGGTCACACTGAAAATCTGACAATGGGTTCAAATACCATGTTGCAGGATTTTTTTTTTCAAACTTGGCCCTGGTTCCCAAGTCAACCCAGTGGATATTAGATGTAGTTCTATCAGTAAAGGCGGCCAGTGTGGTGCTAACTGCATCACCCATCAAACAATTACAAATAAACTACATATATTCATTACTGGTGCCTGTCTAGAATAGAAGGTATTAAATGGTATGTTTATGTTTATTAAACAGATCAACATCATGGCACACAGGTGTAACCCATAAGTGCTCCATTCTTCTTCTAACTCAAGCCTGAGTCTGAAGAATCTCAGCGCAGTGCACGAACTCTGTTGCACCGGCAAGGGTCCTGAAATACTTCGGGTAGATTTTAAACTCCAAATTATACCCCGGCAGCGCTGTTAGGTTACTCTCTTCTACACTCCTCGACTTCCAACTGCCAAGGGATTTTTTTTATGTGCCTGGACCTCTAGCACTCAAAGCGGACACCATGCCTGGAGATTAGCTTTGGGAGAGAACTAAACCAAATGTTAGTGTGTCAAGAGAAGAATGGGAGCTGGTCTTGGATGGGACACATGGTTAGAAAACATGAAAACGATATAACTAAAATGTCTTTGGACCAGAACTATTTGCAAACGCAGAAGGGAGCAAGAAAGGTTTAAAAGGTGGGAGGACGCGGGGTGAGCTGTATGCAACTGCAAAGGACAGAACGGCTTTTCCTGAGTTAGTTGACGGCCTCTGCTCCATTAGGGGTCAGAAGAAGACCTCTCAAGGCATGTCATAATTCCTCAATCATCTAAAAAGACCAGACCAAGTCACATTTGTTCGCTTACACACTGGACACTGCAGACTCTACAAACACCTATATAAAATAGGTATGAGCCAAGCAGCCCTCAGTACTATTATTCACCCTATCTTGGGGAATCCAAGAGTTCCCAGGGAGAGTCTAATATCAAGGGGGGTGTTAGTGTTAAAAGAGTCAGTCGGTGCTCATTTCACACCGTAACAACACTATACAATAACTATTTGACTTTGCTCGGCAACTCTCGGGTGAACTAAAATTTTAAAAACCCAGCTCTCAGTCTGCTTCTTTGTGCTGAACAGACCCCAGAACATGTCTTGCAAGACTGTCCTTTCCTAGAGGAGCAGCGGAGCAACATGTGGCCACACTTAGTAGACATGACAACTAAGCTTTAGGGAAACCTAAAAGACCTTGAGGTAACATCTCAGTTTATGGCCTACAGTGTATTATGCGTATGACCAGAAATCGCATGACTATGCATCCATTTAACAAAAAAAATACCGTAACTGCTTCAGAAACACAGACCAGCCGACGACTTGATTATTATTTAAAAATAAAAAAGGAAGGGGGGGGGGGGGGTTACAGAAGAAAAAGAAAAACACCTACTCACTTAGACACAATTGCCTGGCTTCTCCAGGAATTCCATTCACAAGAAAATACGTCAGAACCTGGTTCTCCACCCCCACCCCCCAGTTAACAGTCTACCAGCGCTAATGCAATCAGATTCCCTCCTTTATTATTTGTCTCTTGGGAACCCCGTGCCAAAAATAGAACCCCCAACAGCCGTCAGGATTTTCAAACCATTACACACAAAAACACGCACAACATAATCTGCAGCAGAAACGGATGACGTGAGCTGGGGAGGGGGCGGAAGGCTAAAGAGAAATAAAGGTTAAAAAAAAAGATTTTCAGGTCAAGTCCTGACCTTAATATGTAAGACGGAGACAAATACCAGGAGGTCATTGGGTGCGCATTCTTCAATTGCAGCAGGCAGTTGCTCCGCCCTACTTATTGTGTGCTCTCCGGCCAGATGTCTATCGTCTCTTTAGAGGTTGCCTGATATTTGTATTAACAAAAGAATGTTGGAGCGGGTAGATAAGGGGGGGGGGGGGGGGGTAATGGCTGTAAACAGAAGCGGTGGTTTCCTAATCTGCCCACACATCGACTTCTCTGTTATCCGGGTAGGGTGGTGCCTGGGAGCATTTTAAATTTCCAAGGTCCTTGAATATGCTGTGGTAAGATTTTTAAGAGGAGACCAGATAGTTTCCACTGTATCAGCTGTGCATATGTAATGCATGCTGATGGAGTATCTAGGTAAAACGCACAAGCAAGGGACAATTTTTTTAAACGGGTCTATGGTGCTAGACTTGTATTTAGACCACTCGGCTGGACTCACAGAGGGTGGTGCGGTCAACACAACCCCGGTTGCAGTTCAAAGAATAGACTTCACTGCATGGGGTTTATCCTGCAGGGCGCAGTCTCTCCGCAGAACGGCTAGCCGCCTGCCGAAAACGTCGCACAGAGTTCAAACTCGGTAGCTACAAAGACGATCCCCAAGGATCTCTGTAACCATCGCATCATAAAACGAACGATGCAGTCCGCGGAACGAACCCAAGCAGGTTCTTTAGAACCTGTGACATTACCTGGCACTGTTCCCTTGGGTTTCCTATACTTCCTGTGACATTACCTGGTACTGTTCCCTTGGGTTCCCTATATAGTAGAACCTCGCTTAACGAGCACCTCTCAAAATGAGTAATTCGCATAACCAGCAAATAAATTGTAAAAGAATGACTTGCTTAACGAGCGACGTTTCGCTTAACGAGTGGCGAGGAGAGGGAAAGTCCCTGATTTTGCGCATGTTACAGTCTGTGTTAAGCACTCGTTCCAGTAGCATCGTAGTGTCACTTGTGATCACACATTTTCTCAAACTTGTGTTATATTGTGATATGTGTACATGAATCTTCCAGACCTACAAAATGACCTCCCTAAAGAATTTAAGTTCAGCAAGATCCTGTTTCTGCCTTCCAACACCACCCCATGGACCAGCAAGTTATTTCTAACTTTAAGAAACTCTACGCTAAAGCACTCTTCGTGTATTGTTTTCAGGTGACTGAAGGGACCAACCTCACTTTCAAAGAGTTTTGGAAAAAAATCACTTCCACATCGATGCCTGCCTCAAGATGATCGACAAGGCGGGGGAATGGGTTACCAAGAGAACCATAACTTCTGCTTGGAAGAAGCTTTGGCCGGAAAGTGTTGTCGAATTTGACTTTGAAGAGTTCGAGACAGTAACCTGGGGAAATCTGTAGTCAAGCGAGATTGGGTTTTTGGGGCCATAATATATCATGGGGATTGATAGTGTGATAAAAAAACAGATATCAAAGAGCTTGTGGAAGTAGCACAGCTCTAAGAGCTGACCACTGAAGAGCTTATGGGAGTTGCATTGTGTTTTTCACAGAAAGAGTTTTGGAGGACGTGGTAACAGGAAAAGGTAAAACAATCTTATGGCGAAAAAAGAGAAAAAGTGGAAAGAAATATGCTAAAAAGCATTGGAAAAACTGTTGCCATCTTACATTGAGAAGCATCACCCTAATAAAGAAGTGGCTATGCGCGCTGCAAATTTTTTTTAATGATAATTCTGTGTCGCATTTTCGCCAAATTTAGAAGTGTCGGCGAAAAACGAATTTCTCTGGACATCTTTCAGTACAAAATAATTAGCTATGTATCAGAATTATTTCGACTTTTTTTTTTCTCTGCCCAAAGGAATTCGCATTTCAGTTGGGTCGTTTGCGGNTTTAAAATTTTTGCGGGAACTGATACCCCCCCAAACCACCCCTGCGGTGTGGTCTTCTAGGTCTAAAAATTGTTTTTAATCATTCCCCCTCCCCCACCCACCGAAAAAGGGAATTCTCCGCGCAGTTTCCCCCTCTTTACCAGGGCACGGGCCCAAGAGGCGGGTGGGTGATCAGAAAAGTCAGCGTAACAGTGATTAGATTCCGTTTGGGGCATGGGGCCGGGAGATGAATGAGAAAAAAAAGAGAGCTAGGGTAAAGAAAAACTGGGTTTTAGGGGGCACCCAAAAATGTCAGAAAATGGGCTGAAATGGGGCTGTCTTTATTTACAAACGTGAACGGGTTAGCTACGGTGAAAACCCGGGAAGCATTTTTATCAAAGGGCACACATTTGGGGGCCCTGTCCTTAAAACCTGAGAACGATAAAATTTCCCCGGGCGTCGCGTTTTTGGTTTGGGGTTTTAGGGGTATAAAGGTCTTGCCCGGGGAAACCCTTTTCTTCTAGTTTCTAGCGGACGTTTTTCGAGTGGTGACTAGTCTGGAAAAAATTAGGTGTAGAAAACAGGAGTCGGTGCGCCGGTTGCGAAATCCCCATTTCTTACCCCAATGGCTTTATTTATTGGGGGATTCTCTAGTACAGTACGTAAATCGAGGCTCACAAAAACACGGAAAAATTTGGACTTCCTGGTGTT